ATGGGGGGAGGGAAGGCAGAAGAAGGATAAATGAAATAACTGACAGGAAGCATGTCAAGTACTGGTTGTACTGTTCCAAGTAATTTATTATAGGGGATTATAGTCTTTGCTTCCTAGAATAATTCTAGTTCCTGACAGTTTCTAGAATAGCATCAATTAGTGAAGAATTTCCAGCCAAACAGGTAAAATAGTTTGGTAGGAGTTTTTTTTGTATGTACTGTTTTTGAGATAGGGTCTAGCTTTGTAGCCTAGTTTGGCCCTAAACTTAGGATTCTCCTGCTTCAGCCTCCTGAGGCTTGGTGTTTTTGTAAAGTGGCTAAGAGAGAGGGTGAGAGGGAGGGGAGATAAATTCTACATTATAAATCAGAACAAAAGTTACCGAGGTTAGGCTGGGCACTAGTGGCTTATGACTGCAATCCTAGCTACTTAGGAAGCTGAGGTAAGAGGATTGCAGTTTGAAACCAACCCAGACAAAAATGCACTGAGACTTTTATATCAAATTAACCAACAAAAAGCTGGGGTGACAGTGAGGGGGCTCAGGCAACAGGAGTGGCTGGATACCTTCTGGGAACTGCAGACCCTGTACTTAAAATTATGTATCACTAATAGCAACAGTGCTAGCTTTTAAAATAGACAGATATTTTTAGATCCAGTGTACATTTACAGCCATATGCCAATGTTTGGGTTTTTTTAAACAGACAGGTGGAACATTAGGGCTCTGGATACTTTACCAACAACATGATTTAAGCAAAAATCTGTGTGTTAAACACCGCTGGAAAAAAATACACCATTTAATGTATTCGAATCATGGCCATTTCTAAGAAAGCACCCTTAACTTTTCAAATTAAAATTACTAAGACAATGATGCCAAATTACCACTATGAGACACTAATTTGCTGCACAAATTTGGGTAGCACCAAGACCTGCTTTGTTAGAGATTAATCTGCTTAGTTAATTTTATCACTACTTGGAACAAAACCATCTAATATGAAAGATTTTTTTAAAAGTTAGATGATGCAGAATGACTTGTTAATCCTTCATATTCAAAGGTCGAGCAAAGAACTTAGCAGAAATCTCATTCTTATGGAGAAAAACTAGGATATTTCTTCAAAATAAAGTTTAAAAAAAATTCTAAAACTGGTCTGAGCACATAAAAAGACCATGAGTACTTCTTCACTCACATACTAGAAGCCCCCAGGAAACCCTTCTGGACATTTCCCAGACTGGCCAGACGATTCACTGGCACCCAAAGTCCCACTAAATTTGTTAAAAATAAAATTACACCTGAAATGACAGTGCTACCCACACAGTGTAGAGTCTCTAAGGTGTTCACCAGGACTCAGGTCCAAACAACATCAAGTCATCTGCAGTAGCAGATAACAGAAGGGAACACCATCCAAATGTCATAGCTCTGTACTTGGCCTTACCTTCAATTGAGCCCCCTTGGGGGATATATAGGTAGGTTCAGCATTTGTCTCTATTTTACATAGGTAAGACATCAATGCCTGTACCAAGCACAGAAAAAAAAACAAACTTTTAATAATACTTGTGAAAGCAGTGTTAGGTCTGCCCAGAACAGCCTTTCCTCCCTTCCTCTTTACCTGCCTGAAACCAGTAAACACTTGACTGTTAATCACCTGACTGTGAGTCAGCAAAGGACCCCAGACTCTGAGCTCATTTCATCTGCTGAGGTAATTTCCTGAGCCGCCCTGGTCACATCTCCCAGGAACAGTGAAAGGTTCCCCTTGCTCTGAAATCACTTCCACATCACCCCTGGTCCTGTTTCCTGCCTTTCCCTATATAATCTGGCTTAACACAAGTCCCCTCTCTCTCTTTTCTCTTCTTCCTTCCTCTCTGTTTCCGCACGCCTCCATCTTGTGCAGGCAGGCAGTCTGCTCTTCCCCCAATAAACTCTTTTCTGCCTGAACCATGTGATGGGTTTCCTTTCCAGCAAACCTTATACACCGCAGCATTTTACTGAGGTGTGGGTGTCAGGACCACTGTGGTGGAATTTTGCATCTGAGGAGAGAGAATGAGTTCACCTGTGAACACAACATGGGTAAGAGGAAATACAGCCAACCAACAGGATAGATATCAATGGATAGAAAATTATAAAAGGTGAATTATAAAAGGTTTCTGAGGAGAAAGGGGGGATTTTGGCTAACCTGACCTAAGAGATGCTTGTTAACAATCAATCCTGAAGGGCATTTAGTAAAAGGATGAGGAAACTAATTAGAGGGGGGGGGGGAGGGTTTGGGGAGTTCCCTTCCTAAATTGATGTAGCAAGTTTCTTTGTTAAAACTGGATCTTTTACAACAGAATGTAGATAGAACTGGGAGATGGTTCAGAAGCCAAACATTTGTTGAAAATGTGTTCATATGAACACTAATAACTTGAAGAGAGAGAACAAATGACTCAACTAATAAAGAGAAGGTAAGATGCAGTGTGTAAGTTTTAGAAAGTAGATTAGTTCCAGCCAGGGTGAGTTAGCAAGAGAAGTACTGTGGGAACTAGGATCTGAAGACAAGACTTCTGACAGAGATACAGCAGTGCAGAGGGCAAACGGAAGAAAGGACATTCCAGGAATTTCCCCCAAATACTGATAAACAGGTCAAATTCCTTGGCAGAGGAAATCACTTCCTACATACCAAAAAGGTTTCCAAGTCCCAGCTAAGGATTTGACTGTAAACAAAGTGGTCCAAACTAAGAAAGTTCTAGAACAATAAAAAATTTTGGAAATTCACCAAATTCACAGCACTATTTCTTTTTCTCTCTTGTTTTTAGTACTGGGATTAAATTCAGCCTTGAGCCATGTCTCTATCCCTTTCTGCTTTCGTTATTTTTCAGATGGTATCTCTGGGCTTTTTTTCTTACCCTGGGCCCCAAATCCTCCTATGTCTTCCATAGAGCTTGGATTATAGATATGAGCCACCACAGCCAGTTCTGCACCATTTCCAACATTCATTGCTTTAACGATTTTTCCCTCTTAACTTTACCACACACTAATTTCAAGTATCCAATAAAAGATTCACAAATAATGCATGTGGAACTAGATTAAGAGGATACTGATTAATTTTACATCCCAGGGCACATTTTAGATGATTCTGAATATGTTTGTATGTACTTGAGAGGGAAAAAGAAAAGAAAAACTTGGAAAGGCACATGATCAATAAGGTCCCAAATTATCCTGTATTTTGCAAGCAAGTATTCAGCAAATGTGAAAGAATTATCAAACTATTATGTTTCCAGGTAAAGGTTTTCCTCATACCTGAATCAATTACACCCCACTCCCACCCCGCCCCCAGTAACATTAAGTATAAAAAGTTGATGATGGTAAGGCAAGCCAAAATACTTCATGGAGTAATCCATGAGCCCCTAGTCTCTGTCCCATTACAAGTCCAAGTTTCACAAGAAATTTTTATAGTTATTCAAATGCTGGGTGATGTCATCAAATAAGCTATATCAGAATGTATAATATTTGGTAGCAATAAGCAGATGGGTATCAAAACTAACTTATAACTAATTATTTTCCTTTAAATGCACCTAGAAAGATTCCCTAGTGCTCCTTAATTAATTCATCAGCAAGCAATCTACAAAAGTGATACCTAACATTATTACTGGTAACAAGAACTTGAATCTTGGGCTAGAGGCATGGCTCAAGTGGTAAAGAGTCAGCCTTGCAAGCAAGGGAGCAAGCTCACTAAATTTATGGCCCTGAATTCAAACTCTACTACAAGTTTTTTGGTTTTTGTTTTTTATTTTTTAAAAAATCTTTGTGAAAGTCTAGGCTAGGTGGTCTAAAGACTTTCACTGCTCTTTGAAAATTCCAGGTTTCACATTATTGTTATTGAAAAAACATATCTAATAAAAGTTTTAATTATTCCCATGTACAGAACCAAAAAAAGAGACAAATTATTGAAATAATGTTTTAAAGTATTCTTCCATATATGGAAGTCTTTTCAATCAAAGTGGGTTACTTAAAAGTTCCGGCTTTGGCCTGCAGGCTTGGCTTTTGAGTATTCTAAAACAATATCAGCAAGTACTGAAAGGAAAAGAAGAGCTGCTTTGGGATAAGGAAGGATTTTTGAAATATAAGTTTGTTCTTTAACTGGTTTTTCTAAAATGGAATTAAGGCACACCTCAGAAGACACACCTTTGATAGTTCAAGAAATAGCAGAAGGGGCCCGGGAAGATGGCTCAATGGTAGAGCGCTTGCCTTGCATGCATGAGGCCCTGGGTTCGATTCCTCAGCACCACATAAGCAAAAAGAAAAAAAAAGCTGGAAGTGGCGCTGTGGCTCAAGTGGTAGAGCGCCCGCCTTGAGCTGAAGAGATGAGGGACAGTGCCCAGGCCCAGAGTTCAGGCCCCACGACTGGACCCCCCCAAAAAAAAGAAATAGCAGAAGGTATGGGTATATTTTGAGAATGGGTATATTTTGAAATTGCTTGTATACTGTTCATCTTATTTCAAAGTCTTATTTCAAAGTTTTTAATGGTCACTTTACATAACATCTTCCCCCTTTCAAACTAGCCAATAGAGAGCAGATTCTGAACCTGAACTCAACCAATCTGAGCAGAGGGGCAGGGCCTGCTTCATTAGGGATAAATACAGAATAGCTTGCCTACTCTGAGTGAGTGCTTGCCAGATTTCTGGCTGCTGGCACAATTCTTTGTTGTGTGTCTATCATTGCGACTCTGGTGGTTTTTGGAGCATATATTTATAACATAAAACTCCTTTGAAATTAAATTATGCAAATAAAAACTGATGAATTTTTTAAAGCTTAAAAAATTATTCCAAAAGTTATTGCAAGAAAAAAATTCTTGGATTTAAGCATCAGCCTCATTAACTCATCCTCTCAAAGTCCTGGGCTTTTAGAGATTTTTGGTGTAAGCCACCATGCCTGAAGATTTCTTATGGGGACTTGTTTCAGTTACTTTCAAAACATGTATTACTTAGTAACTAAGACAGCTCCTTTAGATACCAATCAGCCCTTTGCTTACCTGGAGATTTTTTGCTTGATCTTGATTGTGCCAAGTGAGATTGTCTAGGCAGCAAGGGTGAGGACGGCAGAGACATGGAGACACCTTTGGCCAAGCTCACACGATAGGAATCCTCTGCTGCAGGAGGACTGCTCACGGGAGAATCGCCTCCAAGACCAGGAGGCAGAATGGGAGGAGTCTCTGGACCAAAGTCACCTCCTGGAGAAAAAAAATAATACTTTAGGTTATGTCAACCAGATGACAATCAGATACAAATTATTAAAGCTAAATTCTTTTTTTAATTTAATTTTGTGAACATACTGTACAGAGGGGTTACAATTACATGGGCAGGATAATGCGTACATTTCTTACCAAGCATTGCAGCCTCCTCCTTTGTTTATCCTTCACATCCCTTCCCAGCCTCCCCCCTCTCCCCCCAATCCCAATCCTTCTCCTTCTCCCCCTCCCCACACAGACGTTGTAAAGCTCGTTTTGGACATGACAACTTGTACTTCTCATTGTTGCAACAGGTCCACCTGTATCCTTAAACGACTGGTTTTTCCCCATCTCCTCCACAAGTTATACTGACATCAAATATAGAGAAAGCAGGGGTTATACTGTGGGGGAGGGACATACAAAGCAACAAAGAGATAATCTTATAAATAAAGCTAAATTCTTAGAATATAATTCCCAAACAATATTAGTATAAACTTTCCTTGATTTGTGAATTGAACTCAATGACTAAAGTAGTCTAGCACTTGAGTCACATTCTCCAGTCCTTTTGTTTTTACTTAGTTTTAGAGATAGTCTCAAAACAACCCGCAATGGGTGAAGTTGAGATCCTTGGCCCCCTGAATAAAGCTGACTTACTTTTCTTCTGCCTTTTCTTGGAAAAATTATTATTTGCATTTCTGTGATTATTGAAGTTGAACATTTGAAGCATGAAAAGAGCTAAAGAAAGTGCAACATCTAAACAGCATTTTGCTAATTAATCATCTGTTATTGGATATCTGGTTTGTTTCTACCTCTTAACTAATGTATAATGCTGAAATGACATGGGTGTGCAAATATCTCTGATGGCCTTCTTTTAAATGTTTTTTTTTTCCCCTGTGAGGAGAAAAAAAAATCAAGATTTACTACTCGAGTATTAGTTAACTCAACCTCTGATCCCTTTCCTGTATTACCATCTGTTCTGACTTCATCCCAAGGAATAGGCTTATGGATGAAATTAGAGATTAGATCAAGATCAAGTATAAAGTGAATGCTCCAGAAGAAGGTTTGATTTCAGCTAAAGGATAGGGGTTAATCTGGGTATCAATGGAGCAAACTCCAATGCCAAGGGCTGCTGCTCTATATTCTCTCTAAAGAAGGGTATGGGCTACTTCCACATTCTTCCTCAGCAACACCTTCCCTTCTCCCCATCTTCTTTAGTCCACAAAGCCTCATAAAAACAAACCTTAATCAGCCCCAAACCATTTCAGGACTGGACTATGGCTCACTTATTGTGAAGGTTCCTTTGTATTCTCCCTAGATGACCTAAGGGGAAAGCTAGCCTACTACAAGAAAATCAAACAATCTAGAGTAGGCAGATCCATCCTCCCAAAATATAGAGGTTACAATTACAGTGTAGAAAGTATTTGGGGAATACAGTATCTTGTCTAGGCTAGACTCTTCGAAACAGTACAGCCAATTCACAAGTACTCATTTAATATGTTTTCTCCCAGTTTCTCCTCTTCTTAATCATATTCCCTTACTCTCTGTACTAAGAAGTAACTGAAGAAATACAAGGCCAGAAGAGAAACCTGTAGCTATCAAGCACACAGAATAGGAAAGGTTTTCCAAAAGAAAAACTAGTCTGATACATGCTAACCAACAGTCTTTTTCCATGCCTTCCTGGCAAGAAAGAAAGAAAGAAAGAAAGAAAGAAAGAAAGAAAGAAAGAAAGAAAGGGAGAGAGGGGGTAAGGAGGGAGGGAGGGAGGGAAAGAAAAAGAAAGAACAACTAGATTTGAAAAAAGGAGAAATACAGGGTGTCTAGCCCATTAGGAATGCTATTCTTTCAGTAAAGAGAATATAACAAATCTGCATCACTGTGCTTGTTTTTCACACTAGGAGTATTGAGGAAGGAGAGTGGCCAGTGCCTCACTAGTGTTCAGGCCTCATTAGTAAAGACAACTACAAGGCAGAAAAGCTATCAATAGAAAAGCCATGAGCTCTGCTGTGGTTAAGCTGGCACAGTCAGAAAGGCCATTTCAGTCTCACCTGGACTATGTTTGAAGGGGTGTCAATTTGGGAAACTAGAGATTTTTCACTAGCCAGGTAAGTGGCTCGTGCTTCACACCTGTAATCCTAGCTACAGGTAGCTGAGATCTGAGGATCAAGGTTCAAAGCCAGCCTGGGCAGCAAAGTCCCAAAATTCTCATCTCTAATTACTGTGACTCAAGAGGTAAAATGCCAGCCTTGAGCAAAAGAGCTCAAGGACAGGGCCCAGGCCCTGAGTTCAAGCCCCATGACACCCCCCCCATTCCTGCGCACGCGCACGGCACACACACCCACACCAAACGTGCCCAAATGACTGGCATACAAAGGGAGAAAAAATAGAATTATTAGCAAACTTTCACTGGAATTACATAACAGAGACATTTATAGCAAATTCTCTAGACAAAAGTTCTGTCCCTGAAGGAAGGAGCCTGCAAGAGTTAGCAACAGCCCCTGCCTTGGATCTTTACATCTCTCACCCATCTGGTTTCCGTGGGCAGCTCCATAAGATACTGTAACCAATACCCAGGACCACAGAAGCAGGCTGGATCTTTGAAGGCCTTCAGCTAGTTCAGGAAGCTTCCCTTTTGGCTACTTTTTTCTTTTTCCTACCTTTTTGACTACCTTCTTCTTGCCTGTCAAGCAATGAAATGGTTATTAGGTCAAGAGCTGGGGCGGCAACATTAATGCCAACTACCACTGACATGCAATGTCTATGGCTTTCATGAGAGCAGAGGGAAAGTTGTTTTCTCTGGTCCAACACTGACTTCTCAAGACTAATACCTGCCACCACCTGGTCCTCAAATGAAGAATACAAGCAGGAGCTGTGCGTACAGTAATAGTCAGGTCACCTCACCTGCAGATGTTCCAGAAAGAAACAGTAGTAGAAGACAGAACAAAATGCAAAGAGTTAGGCCGTAGCACCACAGAATTATACTCACAGGATGTGGTGGTACCTTAGCCAGACAATGATTTTCCATGTGTTTGAAGAGAGTTAGAATTACCCTCTAGCTATCCTTATATTACCCAAATCACAGATTTGGGTTTGCAAATGGCTGTGGGATATACAAGGCACAAACTCCCTACCTTTTCAGGAAGACTTCTGACCTATACATAAAAACTGAGCCTTCAAATCCCTAACTATGGATGGAAACACAAAAAAGAAAGGGAAAATACATGTAATAGTTCCAGAAAGAGAGAGAGAGAGAGAGAGAGAGAGAGAGAGTGTGTGTGCGTGTGTGTGCGCGCGTGTGTGTGTGTGTGTGTGTGTGTGTAGAGAGAGAGAGCTCATTACTGAGAAAAGTTTTGTTATCTTAAATATTTAGAACTCTGTGGCATAGAAGAGAAGAAATTAAGGCACGACTGGAGATTTAAAGCATTTCCTAACTACAAATTCTGCCCATAACCATAGTTTGCATCGAGCAAAGCAAATATTTTCATTAACTGCAAATCTGGTAGGGAGGAGTCTCCAAAGCATGCCACAGCCATGAGGACCTTCAGCATTCTGAGCAGCTGGGTTTCTGCACTTTGATCTTAGGCAGACTGCAATAAAAGTGAGACTTAGCGATGGGGTTTGGAGCATTCTAGTTGAACTTGACTTTGTCATCTCACTATAGTATCTGTCCCAAACATGTTGCTTTGTTTGGTTTTTCAGACACAATTAAACATCCAGTTTCCTTGTATTAAAAAGACACAATGCAGAGAGACAAGTTTTTGAACAGGGGGCATAGAGCACGAAGTGGGTGATCCAGTACCTCACAAGCTGCAGACAGCATTCTAGACCTGCAACTTTAACTTCACAGGGCAGGGTGGGGGTGGGGGTTGGAAAGTCGAAGAAAGGCCAGAGCAACCCAGGATGCCAGAGGAAGAAAGTGAAAATCTCTTCAGGGTATCCACTCCAACAATGAGATACTGGTTCTGGGCAACATGACACTAGAAATTCTCTGGTTGATTTAACATTCCTCAGCAGATGCTTAAAAAGGTTTAAGAGGAATTATAGACATTTCACTGTGCAACAACCAGCATGGCTGGCACATTTCTTTCAGTCTTGAATAGACGCAGTTTTCTTTTAACTGCAACCTACTTTATTCTCCACCTCACACTTCAATCATCCTTCCTGTTGCTGTAGCAGAAACAGCAGGACCATGCATCCTCTCCAGGGCAGGCAAACTATCTATCAGGGACCAGGGATTTATCAGGCCTCCCCCGCTGCAATGGCAGGTGTTTCCCATGGAACACTGACACACCATAGATGATCACATCTACTGAACATGCTTGTATCTGGGAATGCCTCTAGTCCAACCACACTGTCTCACAGACAGGAAGGCAGGCCTGGGCTTGAATAGGAAACCTGCAAGCTCAGGCTCTCACCATTCCCGCTGTTTAAGAAATTTGCAACATGGGGGCTGAGAAGGTGGCTCAGTGGTAGAGCGCTTACCTTGCATGCTCGAGGCCCTGGGTTCGATTCCTCAGCACCACATAAGAAAAAAGAAAAAAGTCGGAAGTGGCGCTGTGGTTCAAGTGGTACAGCGCTAGCCTTGAGCTGAAGAGCTGAGGGACAGCGCCCAGGCCCAGAGTTCAGGCCCCATGACCGGCCCCCCCGCCCCCCCCCAAAAAAAGAAATTTGCAACATGGGCTGGGAAGGTGGCTCAGTGGTAGAGATGCATGAGGCCCTGGGTTCAATTCCTCAGCACCACATAAGCAGAAAAAGCTGGAAGTGGTGCCATGGCTCAAGTGGTAGAGCGCTAGCCTTGAGTTGAAGAGCCGAGGGACAGTGCTTAGGCCCAGAGTTCAGGCCTCATGACTGACAAAAAAAAAATGCAGCAAAACAGAGAAACAGAGACGCTCTAAAGTTATAAGGGGTAAATACATTTGGTGAAAAGTTCTGATGATAAATATATTAGGTTTTTCAAGTTATAGTCTCTGTCATATTCTCTATCTCTCTTTCTCTTTCTCTCTCTC